AATTAAATATTATTCTTTATATTTGTGATTGAGAACATATTTGATGCTGGTAAATACAATACCAAAATATATAGGTCATGAACTATCTATCGTAATATTAGGGCAGAGCCTACCCTATTGGTTAGCATTTTCAGTACTTGCGTTTTAAGAGGTATCCACTTAACTGACGAATAATGTGAAGTTTTGCAACTGCTACATGTGGAATAACAGATTTATTTGAGTACAATGTTTCGTCTCCACCAGCGTGCATGTAATCTGGTTTATCAACAACTCACAAAAATGAAGTGATCACCAAAAACACAGTCGTCAATTTATACATATTTTATGAAACTGACCATAGATGGATATTTTACACAAATCTGTTTGGTTGTTTTAGAACAAAGCCACATTGGACTATTTGCTGTGTCCACCACGGGGAATCGAACCCCGGATTTGAGCGTTGTAAGTCCGTAGACTTGCCGCTGTCCCATCGGAGGAAAACAGTTTAATATTGGTTTGTTTTTGAGCAAAGCCACATTGAACTATCTGCTGTGTCAACCACGGGGAATCGAACTCCAGATTTTAGCGTTGTAAGTTCTTAAACGTACCTCTGTCCCACTGGAGGACTTGACACAAATATTGCATCATAAAGACAGACTGCTTTTATTCCGACGATAATATGATAAGAATGCTGATCAACTGTAAAGCACGTCACTGCTATCAACCAGGTTTACGCTTAATATGTCTGACATCACGTTTTGTAGTTAGGAAGTGTCAACTTATCCTACTAAGAATTTACTTTGGAAATAACTTCCAAGTAAGTTGAAAGCCACTGTTTATTAGATTTAAAGCCATCTCGATAAGTACAAATACATCGTCCAATTTGTTTATGAAACATAATATTAATTTAACACCAAGTGCAAAAGAGAGATTTGCTTACTTTATGAACGAAAAGTAATATAGATTGTTCTTTTTTTTTTACTTTCTATTCTAGAATTACATTTATGAAAATGATTCTTTGAAGAGATGTCTATTTTATGAAGTTTAGAGAAAGTGTTTGTGGAATATTTTAAAGGTATTTTCTAAAACATTACTAAGAGATGCGAGCGATAGCGCCGTGTGATTTAAAAACGGAGTAAAAACTCCTGAAAAACCAAAACTGCGCTTAATTTTCGGCCCATCAATAACGTGATGTAGGCACTATCAGTTTCTTATTAGAACTTGAGATGATACAATAGGAGTTCCCGAAAGGCTGTAGTCCTTATCCACCTCTATTCCATCACAAAACAGAGCAAACGATATACAATTTTGTCATTATTGTGAATAAAATAAAGCATAAAGTAAATCAGACTACATAAGGTCATTTACTCCTTTTGAAAATTATAATTAAGTCCAACAAACTAGTACCAAAGACTATATTTTCCCCAGCGATCATGTTTTATTTTTCCTTGTTTCTTAAACATGAACCTCAAGTGATATCGATGTGAGATCAGGCTTCTTTACATAAAATAGTCATGCTAATGTTTTTTCGTTCATCCTGTACAGCTTTCTATAAATCGACTAGTTTTCTACAATTAAGTGGGTGCTTAAGTAGTCCAAAGTAACAAAAGTCCAGTGAAGCTGTACTGAAGGACTTAAACGTCTATATTATAGCAAAATAAGAATGGATCTGTCTATCTCTCTTTTTTTCTGCAACTTATCTCAAAGTCTCCTGTTTTTATCATAGTATCATTATTCTGAACATTGATTTCACCATTAAAACATAAGACAAGTAACGTTTGATATATTATTTAATTTGTCATACAGAAGACTGTCACAAATTTTTTCTGTTTCATTTTTTGTTGAATTTCACGCAAAGCTACATGAAGGCAATATGTGTTAGGCGTCCCTAATTTAGAACGATCGAATACCAGCTCTTGGGTTACTATTATCAGACCGGGCCAGGTGGTTAGGGCGCAATATGAGCGTCGCGGGTTCGAATCCCCGTCACACCAAACATGCTCGCCCTTTCAGCCGTGGGGGTGTTATAACGTGACGGTCAATCCTACTATGTGTCGGTAAACCATATCAACCAAACAAAAACAAAAACCCGCTATTATCTTTGTTGTCTTTCACTACGTAAAAACCTGGGAAAGTAACAAGATAATCTGAAAAAATCATCTACAAAACACATAGTGGTAAGTCACTTCTTTTATTTTTCTTTTTTTTTTTTAAATAAAATGTGTTCCATGGATTAAAATTGTGAACTAGTTTTAAGTGTGTGTTAGGCCACTAGAAGAACAACCTGAACATTGCACCTTTCATGGCACCACTATAGTTTATGATGTGTATGCATGTTTCATCTACACCACGGTTGATCAAACATATTACCGTGACAATAGCACTAGCTTTAGACAAATACCAAAACTAAGAACTGATAAACCAAACTTGTGTAAACCTTTTAATACTAATTAGGCCTGGCATAGCCAGGTGGTTAGGGCGCTCAACTCTCAATCTGAGAGTCGCGGCTTCATATCCCCGTCCCACCAAACATGCTCGCCAATTCAGCTGTGGGGCGTTATAATGTGACCGTCAATCTCACTATTCGTTGGTAAAAGAATAGCCCAAGAGGTGGCGGTGAGCGGTGATGACTAGCTGCCTTCCCTCTTGTCTTACACTGCTAAATTAGGGACGGCTAACGGAGATAGCCCTCGTGTAGCTTTGCACAAAATTCAAGCAAACAAACGTTTAGTATATTTTTCTTTGTTTCTATTTTATTGTGTTATTTCAGTTTTTTGTATAGATTGGTCGACCTATTTTGTATGATAATTCACTGTCCTTACATTGTTTGTTACATTTATTCTTTGACTAGTTTCTTGTAATACATTGTAGAATGGTACGTTTAATCTTTTGAACTTTAGACGATGCATTTAGAAAATTGTCAAGGTTTTAAATAAGGTTGAACAGTCCAAAATATTCTTTTATTTTTGTATTTAATCCTTTAAAGGGGGGGGGGGGGCTGACAAATTCAATGGCCAAAAGTCAGTATCAGAGTTAGTATTCAAGTAGTATCTCATTGAGATACATGGAAAAATTAAATTTTTGTCAACAATTTTTAACACAATGAGGCCAAATGATACAGTACCGTGAATCTATATATATGAAGCACAAAAGTTTGTCTGTTCTAACTATTCCTTGGTCGCTGGGCCAATCTTAACCAAACTTTCTGGGATGATAATTTAGAATGATGTTATTAAGCATTTATTATCTTTGACGTAAATTAAAGTTAACTAAATTCATAGATGGCGTCACATCCTTATAACAAGAACAAAAATAACTTAAATTTTCTATAACACAGCATACGCACAGTGTGAGTGAAGGCCACACAAACGTCTTATGTACTCATAAAAGTTTCTGAAGTTTCTACTCCATTAGCCACCACAAGGTTTACATAAAGAATCGTTTCCTGAGTTAGACCCACTTACTACTTTGACCCGTGACCTTTCAACTTCGGCCTTTAAGACACTTCTGCGGCCAATGACTGTCAATTAATAAATCACGTGAAACACTGTGGAATGACATTAAGAGGTGTTGAAAGCGGGTAACAGAAAGCACTCCTACCACCACTACTTTGACCACTAGGATTTGTGCGTTATTTATCACAGCATCCACCCACACATTTCTTAAAGTTCTTAACCCGGACAAAGGACGAACACCTCAATTTGTTTGATACAAGGGGTGAATTCGAAACTTTATAGAAGTTGGATTGTTGGAGCCAGCAGGACCAAACTTGGCAGGTGGACTCAGAGTGAAACGCCAAAGGGGGTTAAAATATTACCCAGGCATGATGGCGATCTAGGAGTAGTTTTGCAGGGTTACTGAACTCGACTCTAGTATCGGAGTTTTTGTTCCTAGTTTTCCCTTGGAATTTTAGGGGCGCTATTTTTAAAACTGTGTTCATCTCCCCCACTAAAAAAATCTGGAAGCAAGTGAATCAGGTCAGAAGTCTGTCTGGAAAGAATACAGGTACATCACCCAAAAACAATAAAAATCAGATAGTCGAATATGCCTGCCCAAACGTAACATAACCAAGCTTAATCAAAAAGAAACTGAAGACACTACAAAACTCAATCCTTACTAGTGCATAAAAAGTCCCAAGCACAACAAGTTCACGAAGACACTACAAAACTCAATCCTTACTAGTGCATAAAAAGTCCCAAGCACAACAAGTTCACGAAGACACTACAAAACTCAATCCTTACTAGTGCATAAAAAGTCCCAAGCACAACAAGTTCACATTTCTTACATAACTCCGTAAATATACAGCCACTCTATGATAGACTTCTAAACAGATCGTTCACTTACTTCCGTAAAAACCTACGCATGATCGCTATATCATACGTGATGAAAATTAACCTAAATACCCGTCACCCATAAATATGTATTATATGCATAGCAAGCAACCACCTACTGCTTGTCTTACCTAACATATCATTGGTGTATTAAAATGTTTTTATTTATGTCAGTACATACTAGATATATTACAGAGTAAATAAACACGGGAGAATATGGGACTATTTGCGATTTGTGAGACTGTAAACATATGAAATGAAGCAAATTGTTTACCTGTGCAAATGCTAAACGTTGCACATAAATGGACATGGCCCTGACAGGGGTATTGTAATTACAATACCATCATTTATGAAATTTTCAGCATTTAACGGTGCTACCAAAATATCAGTGCACTTGGGAGGAGGAGGAGGTTGACATCGAAACTGACTCTCCCATTTCCCATGTACTCAGGTATCGGATGTTCAAGGTTTGTTTTCAGGTACGGGTCCCACTTGGGGTAGCTATAATTATGGATAATGGAAGGATGTGATCAGTGCTTGATAGTGGGGGGCTTTGAACCCCGCAGCAAAGCGCGGGCATTTAATTCTGGTTAATGTGAAGTGTAACAATTTTAAAGCAGCTAGTATGTTTGTTTGTTTATAATTAAGCACAGAGGGCTATCTGTGCTCTGCCCACCACGGGTATCAAAACCCAGTTTCTAGCGTTCTAAGTCCGCTGTGCCACTGGGGGACAAGCAGCGTGTAAGACAGTTTTCGATATTTATTTACTTTTCTGTTCACATACAAATATAATGATGATTAAAACATATTTCTGTAGAACTTTTGTTGTAGTTTTGCTATTTTTATTTTTTTTTCACTAAAATAGATTTCGTGTAGATACGGGACGTTTTATTAGTTTCTAAATACTTTTTAATCTCATTATTGATCACTAAACTTTTTTCTTTTTTTTACACTACAGTTTACTTTTGCTCTCTTATCCATGGTTTCTTTTATATAATTCTTGTCACGCACCTTAACACTGTAATATGATTTTTTCCAGACGTTAAAAAATATACAATTTCTATCACATTCAATATCAAAATATGGTAGTTTTATCAGGACTCCATGGAGTTCCTTACATTGTCTCCACAATTTATCTAAGACGTTATAGTTTATTGCATTTTTAAATGCTTTTTGATACTATTTGCTCTTTTCGATTGACCAGTTCATAAAAACAAATATTATCTTACTTAAAAATTGCACTTAATAATTATTTCCGGTAAGTACGCGAATATGGCCAGTTCGGAATATTTTAATGTATAACGCACTGCATTGAGAATTTCATCCAATTTGTTTGCACTACGTGTGGAAAAATATACCTTTTCACACAACACATGTCCTACATTCTAGGCATTGCATTGTTTGGCAAATCTTATAGCAAATTTTATTCTTTCTGAATAAGGTAGATTCAGTAAAATGGAAAAAAACCTATATTGAGGCTAGGTTTGTAGCTTTTGTTGTGTTTAAGCACAAAGCTACAGAATGGGGTGTCTATTTGCTCTGTGGCCACCGGGAGTATCGAGCCTCGGTTGTTAGCGTTATAAGCCCTCGATCTTACAGCTGCCTCACCGGGGGTGGGTTAGTTTGTTTGTAGTTAAGCGCAAAGCTACACAATGGGCTATCTGTGCTCTGCCCACTACAAGTATCGAAACCCGAATTCTAGCGTTGTAAGTCCATTAATTTGAATATAACTTGAAGTTTTTTTCTCTAATATATTGGATATGAAAAATATTATGGTTTTTACCTTTTAACAAACCAATGTATAAAGATTTTGTCATATGAGTTTAATATAAAACAAGTTCTTATAACTCTTTTCAGTTTTGCCATTACATTGTTGTTGTTTCTCAGGTTCTCAGTTCGGCATTTGCTGCTATCATACTTTTCCTTCTGGGTTTTTCTGTAGTGGAATCAACAAGTAAGAACAAACGTAGTTCTGGTTGTTTGCCGCTTGAAGTCACACTCGTCTTCAGAATGTACGTAATGGGAAGCTTAGTTAGATTATTGTTTATTTCACGACGGGAGAAAGTCACACTATACACTTCGTTGACTCCATGAAATAAACGGAATGCCTGTCACCATCAAATTCTCTATTTTCTTTACGACCTACCAAAAATAGTTTGGTAGAAAATATGTATAAAAATAAACGGAATGCCTGTCACCATCAAATTCTCTATTTTCTTTACGACCTACCAAAAATAGTTTGGTAGGAAATATGTGTAAAAATAAACGGAATGCCTGTCACCATCAAATTCTCTATTTTCTTTACGACCTACCAAAAATAGTTTGGTAGGAAATATGTGTAAAAATTTTACTTTTGATATTAATTATTCACATGAAAGTAATTTTTAAACATAATATCAAAGACACTTTTTAAGTTTTATTTGACGTAAAATCGGTAGATAGTTTTATTTCTAAATGCCACACGATTTCGATAACTTTTTTCCCATCTTTAACTCATGACAAATATAGACGGCGTGAATAAAACGATTAAAGTGCTTTCATGTTTTCTGTTTCTCTCTTTCCACACAAAATTGTTTCTGAAATATAATCGAGGCTTTTTTTAAACTATTCATTTCCAGTACGAATTCATATTTAGTTTACATATATATATATATATAAGATTCAAAAATATAAGAAGGTACAAATAACAAAGTTTTAATCGGCAAGACAAAATTTCACGATTAACAATTTAATGTCAGGGAAAATTCCACAGTCTAATCAGGATTTTACCTTTTTCAGTCTCGGCGCCTCTCTCATCTCGTCTGGTGCAGTGAGCCTTATGTGAAGCGAAATAGAAGACTGGAAAGATTTAATGAGCTTTTCTTTTCTTTATGGTACAGTACCAACTGGGCCTGTTGTTTTGGTGTTTGCTGCACAATACTGACTTCCTGTAAACGTAGTAAGTTTTAATTTATTTTCTTGAGAAATAGGTGAAGTAAACCAGTTTTTATTGAACAAAGAATTTCACGAAACTTAACGATATATTTATCTATATACTACTAAAACTCTGAGATTGTTTGTTTGTTTGTCTGTAATTAAATAC